TATGTATACTATATATATACTGTATATATATGTAAATGTATATATATACTGTATATATCACATTTATTTTTGTTTCCTTCTAGCTGGGAGCACATGGCTACGCCTTCCTCGTCAACAACAACGGTTATATTCTGGCTCATCCTGATCTTCGACCTCTGGTGAGCTTTGGTTCTTTTGTTGACACTGCAAAATATGGGTTTACCTCTGATTAGCAAATTAACAATGCTCAGTCGTAATGTATATCAAATGTTCTAAGGATTCATTAAAGGCAAATATCTAAATAATGTAACGAGGTGGTAGCATCCATCCAATTTCTTTACCTACTTCAAATTCCTGGGTCATTGAAAGCTGGTGTCTGTCTTTAGCAGTGACTGTGTGGGGGGTGGGGTACACTCTGGACAGGTCACAAGCCCATCACTGGGACACATGGAGACAAACAAGACTATCAACCATTCACCCTCTCACCTCTCAATTTAGTGTTACCGATTAACCAAGCATGCAGGTTTTTAGTCTGTATCCAATCCAATCCAACTTTATTTGTAAAGCACTTTTTGCACCACACTAAACCTGTACAGAATCAACATTTCAACACAGCTCATACAAAAACAAACTCAATCACAATTAAAATAAGAATAAAAAAACACAGAAAAATAAAAGCAGGTAATACAAAACAAAGTAAAATCGAGGAATAAAAAAACAATAAAATGCCTAAAACCTAATTTAAAAACTAGAATAAAAACAAAAAATTTCTACAAAAAATAAAATCTAGTATAAATGAACAATACAACCCCTCACACAGTGTCAAAAGCCAAAGTAAACAAGTGGGTTTTGAGACGTGTTTTAAAAACAGCCATTGAAGAGGACTGTAAGTTGGAGAGGTAGCTTGTTCCAGAGTTTAGGAGCTGCTGCAGCAAAAGATCGATCCCCCTTGAGTTTAAGTCTGGTTTTAGAGACCCTCAGGAGCAGTTGTTCAGCTGATCTGAGGGAGCAGGAGGGATTATAGGGGTGCAGCAGATCAGCCAAGTATAGTGGGGCAAGGCCATTCAAAGATTTAAAAACAAATAAGTATTTTAAAATGGATCCTAAAAGGCAAAGACAGCCAGTGGAGTGAAGCTGAAATGGGAGAAATGTGGTCGTGCCAGTCAAAAGCCTTTGGTTTGGATGGCCTCCTCGGCTCCTTTACATCTATTCATCTGATCAACCCCACTATACAGATTTGTATCTATAAAGATATAAATAATGTTGAAAACTATTAATCATTTCCCTTCCACGACCATTGTCAGCTACTTTTTGTTGTTCTGTCACATACATTTCCATTTAAACAGTTAAAAGCTTGTTGTATCATGAAAGAAATGTGAAAAGGTTTAAGAAAAAAAAGGTGGAAAAGTTCACGATGTATGCATATTTTTTTATTTATTTTGTGTTTCATTACCACCAGGCACTCCCATAAACCCAGTAACTGTTTGTTCTGTCCTGCAGTACAAAGATGGCAAAACACTGAAGCCGAAACCTAACTACAACAGTGTGGATATGACTGAGGTTGAGTGGGAAGATACAGATGAGACGGTAAACCAGATATGAAACTACTGATAACAGTCTGAAGTCATCTTACAGTCATATAATCACTATCGACATGGAAGTAGCAACCTAGCGTAACGCAATGTAGCGTAGCAAGGCATAACAAAGCGTAGTGCAGTAACATAACGTGGGGACAGGCAAATAATTCAGAACTCAGAATGTGCGAGCCAACTCATTTTTGTAAAATTAAAATACAAACACAAAAGCTTCTTTAGTAGTATTGCAATAAATGTTGCCATATTTAAATTATTACCATGGTCATTCAAGATTATTTACCACATTTGCTGTATTTGCACAAAAAATGTTTGCATCCTAGTTCTTTGAATTTTTTTTATTTAAGTTCTGCTGTGCAGATGTGTGGCCTGTAGGCTGCAGTTAGAATAAGAAAAACATGGTCAGCTTGTGGTAGGGTGTTTTTGTAATGAAAGAAATCTCAGTGGAGTTTGTTTTTCTCTGCAGCCTTGTTGGTTGGTTTGGTTTTATTTTGAACAGAAAAAGCATTAAAAGATTCCAGCAACACATGATTTACCAGTTTAAGCTAACAAAGTAACATGAAATCTATTGTAAGTTGTAACTGTAATTTCTTAGTTGTGTTTTTTAAGGCTTTAAGCCAGGCTAGGCAAAAACATCCAACTTTAGTTGAACTTACTTTGGTCACAAACAGCTGTAAATGCTTTCTAGTTTGCATTGCTAAAACACCCGTTTTTATGTTCTACATTGTGTTTATGCTAATGCAGAAATGTGTTTATTTTCTTTGCTAGCTTTACTTACATCATTGAAGTTCATTTAATCTTTATTTCACCTTAGATTTATCTCAAAACATAAACATTATTGCCCCATATTTCAGCTGAGGACAGCCATGGTGAGAGGAGAGACGGGCAGCGTTTCACTGAACGTCAGAGCTTCTGTGGATAAAGGGGTGAGAAGTCCATCAGCTGATGCTTCGACTGGTTTTATAAAGCAAAACGTTTAGTTTTCATTCATTTTAAAGACAATCCAATCTGAAGTTTCAACTTTGCTTAAGTATTAAAAACAAACTTTTCTGAGTTTGTGAGATGAGCTTTAACATTTGTGCTAAAAACTTGATGGCTTGCAGGGAAATGACATCATCAGACTTTGATATCCTTTATTGTCAGACTGTGCAATCCAAGATTATAAACTGACCTTGTTGATGGAATAGATTTTTCATTCTCATCCTTCTGATTTTTTCTCCTTGCAACAGAAAAGACCCATGAACCTTGTCAATAATTATTTTTACACCAACATTGATGAGACACCTTTCAGGTAAAGCAGCAGTTCTGTTCACTTTTAGTATTTTCTGGTGCTCTGACCTTTATGTAAGCCTTGATGTAAGTCGTTGCTGTTTCTCTGCAGCTTTGGAATGGTGCTGACGAAGGGCCATGGAAGTCTGATGATTGTTGGAAGTGTTTCTGTGGAAGAAGGTAGGATTCTCAAGTGTTCAACCTCTGCCCGTTCCCCGAGTTTATATCACTTAAAAGAAGAAATCAGAACAGTTTGAAAGTTCAGGTGGTGAACTCACACACCTGGGTGTTTTCATTGATTTAAATAAAATTAAACTCAGATTATCTGGAAGCTCTTCACTCTCTGGTGTTTTATTCTCATTAGATGAAAATAACCAAAGTGTATTTTTGTATTTTTTTTTCTTTTTAAGAAGCCACATACATCTTCTCCAGTGGACTTCATGCATGTTGTTGGGTTCATCAAACCTTTGCTGTTTGAAAGATGGAATTCCTTTATTTTTGAAAATGTAATTAAAACAAGTAAATAGCAATTAACCATGTGTTCAAGTGAACCTTATGCATCTTCAAGTATATTTCTAACTCAAGTCATGTAATTTCTTCATTTTTTCTTGTGACCGTTTTGGTTTAAATCAGTGTATTTTTGCTACTCAAAAAGAAAAAATAAGTAGGTCCTCTGGATGGGTTCTTCTTTAGTGAAACGTTTCGTCTCTCGTCCAAGAGACTTCTTCTGTCTGATGAGTTTCAGGTGAACTCAGCCCACATGGTGGACAAACAGGTCAGTCACATGCAAAAGAGGGCCATTGCTTAACAATGGGCTTGATTAGCTCTGTTGTTCATTGAGGGTCATGTGCCCCATCATTTGACTTATTGGTTTGGATGCTGTTGTTATTTGGTGTCGTGTCATGTGTATGTAGTGAATGCAGGTGGGGCTCAAAGTCCCCTTGTTTTTGTTTTTTCCCTCTTTGTGTTGGGTATCGTTGGGGCCCTGATTCACACCTTTTGCTTACAGGGGGCTGAGTTATACTTGCAATAACAACGTTGTAGGAGGAGGACAACTGGACACAAAGGCCTCCATCTCTGTTTAATGGTGGACAGTTTTTCTTCACCAAGATGGCTTCCTTTACGCCTCTCTAACCAACGTTCCTCTCTATCAAGGATGAGAACATCTTCATCCCTGAAACAGTGACCGCTGGCCTGTAGATGAGTGAAAACTGCAGAGTCCTGACCCGGTGATGTAGCTCGTCTGTGCTGGCTCATTCTTTTGAACAGTAGCTGTTTTGTTTCCCCAATGCATAACTGATCACAGTCCTCCTGACACTTAGCATATACTATATTACTCTGTTTTTGCCGGGGAACTGGATCTTTGGGGTGAACTAATCTTTGTCGCAACATATTTTGGGGTTAGAAAGCCACTGGGACCTCATGTTTAGAGAATAAACGTTTCAGTTTCTCTGAAACTCCCACCACATATGGAATGACGACTGGTTTGGGTCTGGGTTTAGGGCCTTCAATTTCACCTGGTTGTTAGCTGGAATCCTGTTTGGGCTTCTTGTCTGCTTTCAGAAAAGCCCAGTCAGGATAACCGCACTGCTCCAGGGCCTGTCTTGTGTGTGATTTCTCTTTCTCTCTGGCTCCTGTGTTTTGTGGGGACACTATCTGCTCTGTGGTACAGAGTTCTGATGACTCCTAACTTGTGTTCCAGTGGGTGATGGGAATCAAAACGTAAATACTGGTCTGTATTGGTGGGTTTGCAATACACGTCAGTTTCTAACTTTCCTCCATCCGAAACTGAGACATCACAGTCCAGGAACGCCAACCTGCCATCTTTCACATCCTCTCGTGTGAATTTTATATATTTATCCACAGAGTTGATGTGATCAGTGAAATGTTGGACTTCCTGGGATTTAATTTTAACCCAGGTGTCATCAACATACCTGAACCAATGGCTCGGTGACGTCCCTGTAAAGGACATCAGAGCTCTCTTTTCCACCTCCTCCTAAGGCGATGGCCCTCTTTTGCATGTGACTGACCTCTTTGTCCACCATGTGGAGGCAGTGCTTTTAAGGCTGAGTTCACCTGAAACTCATCAGACTGAAGAAGTCTCTTGGACGAGAGACGAAACGTTTCACTAAAGACGAACCCATCCAGAGGACCTACTTATTTTTTCTTTTTGATTTTTTTTCTACCTGGATTACTGAGATGCATCAGGACGTATTTTTGCTACATTTTGAAGAGTATTCCACTCAGCACTGGTCTTACTTTGAAGAAAGTGGTTCCTGTCTAAAAAGTATTGTTAAAGTGTAGGTGAAGCAGAACCTGTCCAGGGGCATCTAGTAGGCCTGTCGTGATAGTCAATAAATCAATTCAATAAATCAATTAATTGCACGATAATTTTTTTGAGGTCGGTAAAAAAATGAGGACGATAAGTCTCATTTTCTTGCTTGTTTGTTTACTTCATCTCTCTCCCTCTCTGTTCTCCGCTGCACAGGAGCTCAGCTGACTCCTCCCCTCCTGTTTTCTTAGTGTGGGAGGAGAGAAGTGTCGCTGTAGCATGAGAGCTCGTTAGTAAAGAAACGTTTCAAAGCAGAACGCGGCTGCTGCAGTGTCGGAGCAATTGCAGAGCCAGAAATTCGCTGCGGGGGGACACGAGAGATAGAGAGAGAGAGGAGAAGGGGTGGGGGCTGAAACTCCCCCAGACCCGCGACAAACTCGTCAAGACTTTACCTGTAGCTCCCAAAAATAACAAGAAACTTAAATGCACCATCTGTGTTTTAACTAAGCACCAAAAAAAAAACCTGTAGCTGTCCCAACAACTCATGAGGAAAACTCTGAACTGTCTGATTTCCTCCCCCACAGAGCTCTGCTTGTCTCCTCACTGACTGTCCCCTCCTCACACACACACACATAGACACGTTTGTTCTTCTATCCTCATGGGGGCTTTGCATTGACTTTCATTCATTTACCAGTATTTTCTATTACCATTTGACCCTAAACCTAGCCTAAACTTTACATGGGATGTGAACTGGGCTTATGTCCCCATAAGAAACAGTGGGTCCTCACCAGGCTGTGTAGTTTGCTTCATCTCTAAAGAGATGCTGCTCTTTAATATTGTTTATTTACTGTTTCAGTTGTGTGTGGTGTTTAATTTACATTTTGTTGTTCTTTTTTTTTTATTCAAGTGCATTTTTGTTACACTGAGAGTCCACTTAAACATTCTTTAAAAATTAAAGTTTATGGATTTATTACACTTACATATTACGCTTTTATAATTATTAGTTGTGAAATGGTCACCAGGCAATATTATCGCTTATCGCAATAATTTGTGAGACAATTAATCGCCCAGCAAAATTTGTTATCGTGACAGGCCTAGCGTCTAGAATTTTTTTCTTGGCGGGGCACAGACTGTACACAGATTGGTACAGTAAAATTGACATTTTAGTCCCTGCAGTCTTAGATAGCAAGGATTAAAATGAACACCACAGTTTGAAAACTAAAACTTTTTATTTCCCATGACACAAATCATACTCAAGTAATATTCTTAGAAAATACATTTTTACTAAAGTAATTTTGTGGTAAGATACTTGTACTTTGACTCAAGTATCACTTTGAGGTACTTACAACAGTAGCTGTGTTGGGTCTGTATTTGTGTGAACAAAGGGATTGACAGCTCTGGTGGGGGTAGCCAGTCAGAAATATACTTGAAGATGCCTGAGGTCCACTTCAGTGGACACATCCGTTGTAATTTACTTATTAAAAATATAAATGTTTCAGAAGTAAAAGAATGATATGAAAACTTAGATGTTTCTGTTCATCATCATAGTTTTTAACTCGGGTTCTGTTTGAAAAAGAATAATGGAGAAGATAAACCAGCTGTAGTCAACAGCTGTGGCTGTCTGTCGGCCATCTTGGATTCATGTTGAGCACTGTAAACTTCAGAGTGAAGCAGTGGAGAGTGGTTGGTATGCAGTTTCATCATAGTAACCACAGCATTTAAGAGAAAATGACTTTTAAACAGCCGTCCAGTGTGTGCCAAAGGGTTAACCACAGGAATAAATCAGGAACAGAAAGCTTTTAACTTAAAGTGAGACAGAGGTCATCTCCTGTGGTTTTTATTTGAACTGACCATTGACTTGAATAAGATCACTAGACTGAGCCCCGCCCACACCGTCCACATGTAGTGTCTGTGACAGCATGGAGGAGCAGAAACTGAGACCAAACAGGACAACAGCTCACAGCATCCATAGAAACTGATAAACAGCAGCTGAACCGGGTCTGTTTCACAGATTATCGGTCATGTTTTTACAATAAATTAATAATYATGTTAATTTCATTCAACAATCGTGTAAAACAGCTGATTTATACCAGAAAAATGTATAATTTATAAGTAACAATGATCTAAACCAGACCTGAAGTCAGCCTGTAACTTAGACTTTAGCTAGTTGAAAAATGATGACTTCAGCTAGTAATAAAGTATATTTATTTTTCTTCTTACTGTCATAACAAATAATAGTATTTATACAGTATTTACTAGTCAACAGTTAAAAAATGTTCTCTGGTTACAGGATGAAACTTGTCTCTATTAGCTAACCATCTCCTTAACATGTCAGGTTCCTCTAACAGAAACCTAAAAATACTCTAAAAATAAACTTACATTATGTTCTGCTCAGATCACATTGAGCTAAATAAGATCAAATCTGCTTACCGGTACTTGTTGTGAAATGAGACGTTTTCCTGTTTATCTTCTGTTAATAAATCCATAACATAAACAGCTTTTCTGACATTATTTAAAACATTAGATAGATTATATAAACTGTAAAATATTAATAATAATTGTATTAATATTATTAGTAATAGTTTTAATGATTTCTACATCGTCAGTCCTTTTTTTCTGCTCTGTTGCCAACATGTACAGTCATGGTAAATCCAGACTCTTGACCATTTAGCGTTAGCCGTTAGCTTCTCCAGCCGAACACACAGTCACGTGGTTTTTGCGCACTCCAGCTGTTCTATAGAACCTCCTTGGAACTGACTTAGTTTGTTTTTACTGCTTTGCAGGATTGCATGACCTGACCTCTCCTGACCTTAGTATTGCATCTGAGTGGTACGTCAAACTAAAGGAACCAGTAATGAAATGAATTAAACTTTAACACTGCTCATACTAACATTTCAGCAGAGCAAATGCACTTTTTACCTGAGTATGTTATTTTCATCCTTTTACCACACATAGTAAAAACACTAATAAGCTGCTTCATGTCTGTTTTCCTCAGGACTTATTGTGAGACAGACATCGACCCCGCTCACAGAAAATTCTCCCAGTTTCAAGCTGCCATCCGATACCTGCTGGGGAAGGAGCCCGATCTAGAGTGTCAGTTTTTTAAAGACAAATTTCAAAATGAAACTATTAAACCTGTCAATTCATTGTTTACACTGAGGGTGGTATCTAACTGGACTGTAACTGTTTGAAACTAGCTGGTGAGTTCAATAGGTGGATTTTCTGCTGCAATCTCACTGAAGTTTAAAAACACAACATGGCCTACTAGTCTATGGACAGTTACAGTTTAGTGATACATTATGTGTTGGATTTACTTAACTAAGTTATGTCAACAATTTGTAATGAAACTTTCACATTTTCTTTAAAAATAAATGTAAAAGTTGCCTTACTCAACTCATGAGTGGAAATTGTTGACATGACTTGGTTAAGTGAATCCAACACATCAGTTTTTTGAGTACAAAAGGAAGTACAAAAATATCAGATACTTTAAGACTTTTACTCAAGTAATATTCCTAAAGGAGACTTTAACTTTTAGCAAAGTAATTTTTGGTAAGATACTTGTATTTTTACTCAAGTATCACTTTGTGGTACTTTATACAACACTGCAGGTGACGAGGTGCTGCTACAGCAGTTGTTGTTTGATGCCGTGGTAACAGCCCCGCTGGAGGCCTACTGGAATACCTTGATACTTAACGACAGGTCAGAAACATTTACATTTAATTAAAGTGGACACATCATGCAAAATCCACTTTTTTGTCATTAAATACATTTTATTGTGGACTTGGAGCCCCTAGGAGGCAGAAAAGATTAATTTAATTTCTCCTGCTGATAAGAGATATTTATATTCTGTTTGGGTCAGATTTTTCAATCTGCTCAGTTTCTTTTTTTACACTTTCTGAACTATTAGTATTACATTCTGGGTCAGACTCTGGCTCAACATGTAAGGCCGGATGGATGTCTTCTCTTGTTCACGTTTTAATTCATTTGTAAATGAAAAGTTTCTGCGCAACTATACAACCATAAACCCCCCTTATCAAACTAGAATGAACTGGTCTGGAAGCTGGTGGGGTCGGAGTGTGAAGCATATCATTTGGATTTAGAGACAGCCTCAAAACAAGTTGATCTGAGACACACCACAGTAAAGGGTTGGGGCTTGTGGAGCTGCAATAAGGAGGAATTCAGACTAAAACAGTGCAGTTATACTTTATATAGACCCAAAGTGAATGATTTAAATGTGAAAAAGAAGGATTTAAAATCATCATATGTCCACTTTAAGAAATCCAAATAAAGATGATAACAGTAGTGGGGTACCTCTGGTCCCAACATGAGACAGCCTTGGAGTTCCCCCGGAGGAGCTGGAAGAAGTAACTGGGGAGAGGGAGGTCCAGGCCTCCCTTCTGAAGCTGCTGCCCCCGCGACCCAACCCCGGATAGGCAGAAGAAAATGGATGGATGGATGGATGGATGGATGGATGGATGGAAGTTTTCTTATGAAAATAATAAATTTTTTTCTTGTAATTTTGGAGGTTGGAGCCAGGAGTTGAGACGGCGTTCCTCGGGACTCGTTCTGGCTTGATGCGGACCATAAGATACACAGGAACTGAGACCAGGGTTGCAAAGTAAGAGGCGAAACATTTCAAATTGCAGAGGTGTCAAAAAATGTAGATCAAAAATTATTTATGGCTCCATTTAGTGTTTCCTGCCACAAAAGGGGAAAATAAATAAAAAAGATATTACATCTCAGTATCTGTTGTCATCCAACCCTGTCCAAAGTTTTCTTGTCAATGTTGAATCTAAGCAAATGACTTGTAAATGTTGCCAAGTAAATATACAGTAATTCTGCAGATTTTTTTTCTTTTTTTTATTATGTGTAAGACTTTTGACCTTTTATAGCAGACAATACATATTTACGTTACACTGCTGAAATGATGGGCCAACTCATCTCCGGAGCAACATACTGTATTTATTTTGCATGAAACTGCAAAACAGAAAAAAACATAGCCGGTTAAAGAAGCTACTCTTGCTTCGTCTCTGCACTGCTTCATCCAACACTGGTCAACTTCCTCTACTTTCACAATAAAAGTAACATCATTTTTCCTGTGAAACTCACTAATCAAACAGTAGTACTAAAACAGTTCTTATTATAACCAGTTGTTAATCCTTTTAAATCACTTATGAATTGTATTTTAAATGAAATCCATTTTAACTGAATGTCTTTTTAACATGTCTATTATATTTCACCTTAAGGAAATGAAAAGAACACATTTTACATTTTCTCTGATTACAAAGCACATCTAGTAAATATAGTACAACTTTAAAACAAAAATAGCTGTAAAGAAAATACAGACTTTAATCACAACCAAATAACTAAGCTCACACAGGAACGTGAACCACATGCCTCAAAGTTGGACGTACTGTGCGTTCAGAGATGCTCTTCTGCCTACCTTGGTTGTAACGGGTGGTTATTTGAGTCACTGTTGCCTTTCTATCAGCTCGAACCCCATTCTCCTCTGACCTCTGGCATCAACAAGGCATTTCCGCCCACAGGACTGC